TCTTCCTTAGAAAAGGCTGTTAAAACACAATCTCCCATTACACGCAGATTTTGCTATAAATGTGATGGTTTCTACTATTAATAGACATAAATAGGTAGGTGGGTTTAAGTGTATTAATTCAAATCTAAAAAAATAAATTGGAAACTTAAGTGATACACTAATCTTTTTAGCAACCATGTTAAACATGACCCATGAAAAAGTGGCCCGTACCAAAATCCACCTGTTTTATAACTGCATACAGTTATTTTATTAATGATGATGTTATACACATATTATTGATATGTGTAATATGAGAACATATTACATATTGTACCACTGCTGTTACCTCATACTGAACTGAACTATCCTATTTTTTCAGCTGCTATAACAGTTTGTGTTTTTTTCAGACAACATAAAATATCTTAATTTTGCTCCACCTGGAAATTTAGGTTTTTAATAAAACAAATGTTTCTAATCCGTTCAAAATTATACTAGCAGCTGTAAATCATACCATAATAGGTCAATAATTACAAAGTTAGTAAAAAGACATGGACTAGTTACTGGGTGCACTTGGGTCTTTGTAGAGCATTTTGGCTTCCTACAATAATACTGATTAGTTTCAGATAAATTAATATAAGCAAAAGATATATTGTCAAGATATAGCTCCACTAACATCTCACACCAGTTAATGCTGCAGGCTAGAGGCTCGCTGCTATTACGAAAGGGCTTGTGTCTTTGATATTCTCTTAAGAACAGTAATAACATGCTACATCACGCTGGCTTTGTCTCTGAACAGTAACATCCTGAAACTGAATAAGAACATTCAAATTTGGTCTGGATGCCAGCTGGAACAGTGACGCGCGCAGGTGATTAAACACAATGCATGCTAAAATCCACATGTCATTCTTTTCTTATTATACTAATACCACTATATTATAGAGTAATTAATGCTCACAGTATTATAATACCGTGTATTACATTATTAATGCAACATCGTCTTGAGCTAAAGCAAAAAAGAATCTGATGATTTTCAGAGAGATTTCACTGGCTTAATCCACAATAACTGCCACAGCCATCAAGTCTAAAGAGCAAACTCTCTGGCAACAGTGACACACAAAAAAAAAAAAAAACACCAAAAAACCCAACCAACCAGGCAAAACCCATGTCAGCCTTTGAAGACTACTAGCCCACCAACTGAAACATTTCACTTCCAATTCTAGCTATACTCCCCAAATTTTGCAGCAGCAAAGAACTTCATTTAAAAACAAAAAAAGTTAGTTTAAAGACTAATCAATCTCTGTATGTCTCCTAAGGTAAGAATTCCCCAGTATAATTCTGTTTCTCCAAGGAGTTTCACCCACCCACTCTTGGACTGCTGTACAGTGAGAAGTTGAAAATCTAGCTGCAAAGTGAAGAGTTTCAGGGTCTAATTCCAAACAATAATTTGTAGTCAGCTTGATTAATTCACATAAATTAGTGCGTCTTTCTTCAATCCTCTCCTAGGTACTGTGCTCATCTTTTCGATTCCTGTTGACAGTCTCTTGAACACCAATAAGATCCTTCTATAGTTATCTGGTAAAAACATGCACAGTAGGAAATCAGCATATTCAGTACACACAGAACTTAAAAGAATTAAGAGACAGGATTTATACCTGTAAAGAAATTTCACACGCAGCTAGGTCATGCTAGTCAAGCAGTAGCTAAAATAGTTGATCACGCAATAGAAAAATTCCCCAGAGCCCAAAACCCCTCTACTTGACAGAAAACATCTGCCATTTAATACATTAAAAAGGAGGAATTCAAGATTCACATGCACATTTTTCAGAATACTGAACACATACATCCAGATAGAGTTCTGTGATGAGGACCTGTGTAACACCAAAAACAGTTAACCTAATAAGAAAATAATATTATACCCAGGAGGCCTGGTTAGCATTCAGCTTCCAGAGAAGTGATGTTTTGTCCAGCAGATCACAAATGATTACTGTTCTCTTATTTCATTAATCTCATTATTTTGACAGCATCATGATTTGAAGAAAACAAAGGGAGTACCCTGGTAATTAGAGTCTAACTTGTTATTACTCATAAAGAACTCTTATTTATAAGAGAGCTTATTCATAGAAATTTGTTACTAAGATTTTTATTATTAAAAGGAATTATTACAACACATTAACTACACAACAGTCTCATAAGACAAATATTTCATTGCATTTATAAACACTCAGTTGAAAATAATCCTTAAAATTTGGATGGCAAATGAAACCCTCTTGTCAAAAGTTTACATAAACAGAAAAAAAGGGGTGTAGAAAAAAAGGCACTACAAATGAGAGGAAAAATCTGACAAATCACATGAACAGTCACATTTTTCACCCCATATAATACAGAAGGAAAACAGGCAATGCATAGTCAGCAGCTGTTACAAGCAAAGACTGCCACTTTTTCAGCTAAAATTTTCCTCTATTCTACAGTCTATTGAAGCAACATATTTGTAATCTAGAAGACAGCCTCCAGGGAACACAAAAATATTACTGTATTTCTTAATATGCTTATCTTCAAATTGCTTTCTACTATGTTTATTTACCTCATTAGCCAAAGCATCTAACTTTGGATCAAAACTTCTACTTAGTTAAGAATAAAAGATGAAAATTGAACTAATCTAGCCAAATCAAGAGCAAGCCTTGTCATTTTATAGCATTTACATACAAGACCTAGGAAATAATGGAACCTCTAAGGCTATATCTGTCACTTCTGATTCTGGTTTAGCTTGTTTGATGTAAAATATTGGAGAAAGGCTGCCTTTGAATCACAACTGCACAGCGGAAACCCCTTGCCTAACTGCAAGACCAGCTGAACTCAACCATTCAGACTATCAGCATGTAATTTTGGGTAAAGTCACTCTGGATGCAATTTTTTAAATTTTTTGTTGTTATTATTATTAATCTGTAACAAAGGAATAACACTGGCTGGCCCATCCCAACAAGAATGAGTTTTGAGCAGGAACTTGGAAAGGTTATTCAAAGTAAGGTATCTATATGCAACATCTGTGGTAAGGAAGACAACAGACAAGACACAGACTTTAGTTACCCATTTCACCTGAAACAAACATAATGGACCAAAACCACTCTATTTCTCTACATTTTCCACTTAATTTTCAAACCTGAATTGGGAAAACATGATAGTATCCTCATCCCTGTATCACACAACTTTGATAAAACGGATCATCTTCTAAGACAAAAGAAAACTTTCACCAAACATTTCAACAAAGACTAGTTCCATTTCAACCACGTATCTTTGACAAAAAATTAACTCCCTTCAAAAAGGACAAAATTTAAAGGAAGCCTATACCTCTTATACAAACAACTACAACAAAAGCTAATCTGAATTCTTCAAAATATAAATTAGACTTCCATCGCCTTTCACTTCAGTTCTCTTGTGCAACAAAGCTGCTAGCTTATATGCAGGCAAGAAGTTTAGCAACAGTCTAAATGAAGAATTTATAGTTCTAGCAGTAATGCTGAATACTCAGCTGTGTGCTTTGACACTCTGCAAAGACAGTATAGATATGTAGTCCAGCTTGTTTCTAAGCTGAGGAGACTGGACTGACAATACAGATCTATTTGCAGCTCAAAATAAGTTACTGTTTCTTCAAGATCAGTTTTAAGTCAGCATACTCAAAAAAACCTATACATCTATCTCAAGAGCAACGCTGCAGTCTTCTGTTTGCCAGCTGTTTAGACTAAAAGCATCCTTGCTCTGCACCTGAAAGGTCACAATGCAATACAACTATCTGACTCCTTACCTGTAAGTCTGTCTTCAACCATTTGGAGTCAAACCTAGCTTGGGCAGCCAGACAAAAAGATTCAGAAGACATGTTTCCTTCTCCAGCCTTCTCTCCAGGCTGGCTGAGCAGCCCAACCTGCCACAGAATGAGAAAAACAACAATCTAGCACGTGAAATAAACCACACAAGGTTATTTCTGTTCAGACTAGGATGGCTTCCGCTCGATCTTTAAAAATTTATCGTGAATAAGGACGTCCCTCGTTCACATCCCCACAAATTGCCCAGCAACACGCATTAAGAACACTCTCTGAACCCCAGAAAAACCCCACTTCCCTTCCCTGTAACACTCGGGGAAGGAAGCCTCCCTTCTGCGGCACCGAGCTACATCAGAGGCCTAACGCTGCCCCTCAGACCCAAACGTGGTGCATGAAATAAATAATTGATGGCAGATTACGCAAGCCGCAGGCCAACATCAAGCGATTATCAGGGTCACCCGCGCCCCCTCCTCCCCGCCGCCCCCGGCGGCAGCCGAGGCCCGGGGGGCTCCTCCTGGCCGCACGACCCCCTCTCCCAGCAGCGTCCCCCAGCCCTCACGGCCCACTGTCACCGCCCCTCACGGCCACCAGCCGTGGCTTCAACCCACCTCGGCCAGCCCGGGGGAGAGGGCCGCCGGCACCGCGGACGGCTGACGGGGCCCGGGCGGGAGAGGCGGGCGAGGGCCCCGCCCGGGCAGGGGTCGCTGCACACGGCGCGGGGGCTGCGCCGC